ACACAGTTCACTCAGTACCCTGCACCCAGCTTCCCTTCCACTTCACCCTTCATGAAGCTGTGGGGATTTCTCAATGAAGCACAGAGCTGGCTCAGAGTTAAAGGACTCAAGCCTGAACGTCCAAGGCAGTTGCCAGCTTTCCCCACCCCTTACCTTTGTGCATACAGTTTTTTTTGCCTTGGAGCAATTTTAATAAAGACTATGTACAACATAGTGTTGGCATAGCATGAGCAACATTATTCCATCTGTTTCTACTGAAAATGTAAAAATGTGTTAGTATAACATTAAGATTCCAATTTTCAACCATTAAAAATCAGTCAACACTGAAGTTATAGACTGCTTTTCATAGCTATTTAGTGATTTTCCTTGCCTCTGTTTTTTGGGAATTCCAGTTTAGATGCCTGTCTTCTGTTCAAAGACTTTTGAGTATCTATCCTTGGAAACAGAGGCTCTCTTAGGTATTTCAATTTGGGCAAAATTATTGCTTTCTGTTGACAGTGCTACAGAGGTGATATTTTAAAGAGTGTTTAGAATCTCACTGTAGAGATGAAGAAGGATGGTAAAACATTCATCTTAACTTCTATGAGAATTAACCTTACATTAGAGAGAGGGCTTGAGCATGCTAACTTTTGCCAAACATGCATGCTAATGCATGCTAATATTTTGCCAAACTCAGATTGGTATAAAAAAGAGCTTAAAGGGAATATTCAGTGCTTTTCTGAATTTGAACCTTAACACTTCTCTTTTATTTTATTTTTTTGTGTGAATAATTATAAAAATACATCCGGCAAAGTTTTCACTAAACATCACATTTTAAACAGTGATGATAGAATATTCTGTCAGTGAGATTGTGGTTATTTGTGCCAAAAGTCTCATTTTTAAGAGTTATGCTGGTACAGTCAGGAAACAAAGTGAAGCAGCATGTGGCTTCCTGGCATTCGTGCCTGCTGAGAACAGCTTTCACTGTCAATGCTGCAAGCTCAAAACAATGTTCACAGGGAGATTTCCATCAACACAGAACAGTATTGAGCAAAGATATGATGCTGTACAAACAAGTGATTAAGGAGTGAACAAGAAAAGGTTCTTTGCTGGACCTGATTCTATGACCAAGGAAGAACTGATTGGTGACATGAGGGCTGGAGGCAGCCTTGGCTGCAGTGACCATGGGGCTGTGCAGTTGAAGACTAAGAGGAGGGAGCAGGCCAAAAAGCAGGATCACAGCCCTGGATTTCAGGAGAGCAAAATATACCTTTCTAGTGGTGCATCCTCCCCTTCCCCCCTTTTTGTCTTAGATCACAGTGTGATCTAAGAAACACTCATTAGGCCTCGACCTTGACAAAGAGCTCCTGGGCTCAGCTCACCTTGAGCTTATCAGAAACACTTTCTGCTTCCAGAATTTGTTCTCTCTAACCAGCCCCTGCTTTTTTATTTTATGAAAAGCCTTGGAAACTTTTTTTTGCCTGAATGGCATAATGTTCTTGTTCTCACACTTTCAAAGAAAATTTCTGAACCGAAGTGCAGCCAGAGTGAAACACAGTTATGACTAAAGCCCGCTCTCTTGCAGCCCATTAACAGCGGTCCAAAAGGAGACCCTTTGAGCCCTCCTGGATAGCAAAGGGCTGTGACCAGCAACCTCCCTCTGGGACCTCTCTGTAGGTTTGCTTCACTCAGAGGATTGCCAAAATAGGACGGATCCTGGAGCCCACTCCTTGAGCCTCGACTCTTTGCCCATTGAGAAGATGCGAAGGCTTCCAAAGTATTTCACTACCTTTGATGAGAACTTTTTACAGCTCTCCTGTACGGGCTCCTTATATCTGTGTGCATGCAAGGTCCATATGTGTGCCCACATCAAATGTGGGAGAAATGCTGCTCTCTTAGATTCTTAAGTATTTCAGATATGTAAGTAAGTTAGGCCTGTGAATAAGTTACTGTTGTGATACAGTATATCCTGTATGATTCCATTCTCGAGGTGTTAAGTTTAAGTTATAAGTTAATTTAAATATTAAGTATAAGTATTGCTAAGTTTAAATGCTGTTAAGTGATATCAGGCCTTTGAACCACATTCCTTTTTATCCTTACCCTTTCTATCCTTTTGTCACACACACACACATGCTTACATGCACTCACACACACAGTTTTTGGTTTATTTTGGTTTGAATTGATTGACTCAGGATTTTAGTTAGTTGCTTTTCCTCAGCGTGCTTTAGCCATTTAGGAAGTAGCATAGTGAATCTTGCCAACAAAATTTGTTGTGCTGTCACTTTTATAAAAACCTGTTTTTACTGATACCTTTGCCAATGATTCTTTAAGTGGTCTTGTAACACTCATTCATAACAATCCCTTCAGAGATCTGCTTGGAAGAATCCTATGGAGTATGGCTGCAGAGAGAAAAGGAATCCAGGAGTGATGAGTGCTCAGGAAAGGACCATCTGAAAGCACAAGAAATCAAGCAAAAGTGGCAGGAAGCCTGTATGCATGAGCAAGGAGTGCCAAACTGAATTCAGACATACAAAGGAAGTGTATGACATTGTAGAAGGCTACTAGGTTGATTAAACAAGATTTTTCCTTTGTAAATCCATGCTGGCTGTTGCCAATCACATTCTTGTCCTTCATGTGTTTGGAAATGCTTTTCAGGACAGTTGCCTCCATCAGCTTCCTAGCGACTAAGGTAAAGTCGGCCAGTCTGTAGTTCCTCATATTTTCCTTATTGCTGTTCCTGATGTTGGAGGAATATTATTTCTGCTCTAGTCATCAGCAGAAATGGTTTGAATTCAAGTGGCTGATTTCTATTAAAGTATTTAAAATTTTCCATAATATTAAATAGCTCAAGACGTCTTTCACATATATCATTGGTGTGTTACTGTATTAAGTACCTCCTAAAAAGAAATTCTATCTTTTTAATAGATATTACAGTTAGGTACACTCGACATAGAGCAACTGTAAGTGAACATTATCACATCAGTTAATGTGTGCAGTACATGCAAAATAGCTTGTATATAGCATATCCAAAACTTTTAAGGTGGCATGATGGTTCTGAAATTATTTTGTTGGTAGTGGAAATGGTGGGAGTTGGTTTTTTTACCCTTTTTATTTTCTTCTGGGTGTTTTATTTTTTCTGGGTATGATGTGTTTGAGCGTGTCCAGGTTTGGGCAATAAAGCTGGTGGAGGCTCAGGCACTGGAACAAGCTGCCCAGGGAAGTGGTTGAGTCACCATCCCCTGGAGGTGCTTAAAAGAAGTGCAGATGTGGTGCTTATGGACATGCTTTAGATATAGACTTAACAGTGCTGGGATAGTGGTTGGACTTGATCTTAGATGTCTTTTCTACCTTAAATGATTCTCTGAGTCTATAATTTATTGTGGGTGCTATAGTAAACCATAGTAAGATACAGAAAAGAGTAATTTTATGATGACTGCTGTGCCGTCTGATACAGCTGCTTGTAGAAAATCCACGTGTGTGCTGAGAAGGTGCCCCTCTGTTCCTCCTCAACATTTCTGTGAACTTGTGCTCCCCAACACTGAGTGAGCATGTATTGGCAGCATCCCCAGCAGTGCTGGGCTGGCCCTCTGAGACCAGGGTGGACCTGTTCCCCAGCCTTTGACAGTGCTCCTCCCTGAGACAGGCCTCTGGGGACCATTCATATCCCCCCAGCTGCTGGCACTGGCTGCTCTCAAATCTGCTTTTTTTTTTTTTCATGAGGTGTGACTCATCAGAGTATCAAACAGTAACCTTGTAAAAATGGCTTTTCTAGAGCCATGGAAACCACAAGATCCCATTACAAGCTGTTTCATTTTCAGTGACTAATGGAAGGTCACCAGTAATGAGACAAGAGGAAATTCTTAACTCTTTCTCAAGTTCCCTTTTTCCTCCTTAGTAAAAACGAAAAAAAGTTTACTAGTAAATGAAATTCAGCTCAGATGGGTATTCTTTGTACATGCTTCATCAGTGCCTGGCTAGTTGACAGAAGACTGCCAAATGTCTGTTCAAGTTTCTAGGTTTTCCTGCAAAAAGCATTTGCTGCTTGTAAGATACATTTCAGCTACTTCAAAGGTCTCAAAACAGCTGCTTTTAAAAAAATTATTTTCTTTTTCATTTCCATTTGTGATTTTATAGATCATATAAGTGAAAGTGGTAAGAAGCAAAGTATCAGGGTTTCAGATTGGATTCATGAGCAGATTAGCAGACCTTCATGACCAGACAATAGTCCAAGCTGGTGAAGTCAGTGTAGCCAAGTCCTGCAGTTAAAATTGCAGAACTGGAAATCTGGAAGCCTCACTCATTAATTTAATTGCAGCATATTAAGAAATGAAGAGAGTGAGAGGCAAACAGACACAGAAACACGTCTGAGCTAAAAAAAAATTTGAGCTGCATGTGCTGTTGGCCCTATTAATATGATTAAACATAGGCCAGCTTTCAGACCTATGCAGAGATCTTGTAAAATAAATGTTAGCAGTATGCTGAAAAATAGAGGTATGGGACTCATAAGCAAGAGCTGGGAACTAAGCTTATGGCTGGCAGGATGAACAGTGTAGGACTGTGAAGTGGAGGAAAACCATTGTGCACATATACAAGAGCCTGTGGTGTAATGGGCTCTGCTTTGTGCCTTATACTGAAGGAGAGCTATTGCTGGGGTCAGAGACCTACCCAGCCAAGGCTTCACTAAGTGACCTTGAAGTCAGCACAATCATGTGTGATATAATGCAAAGGATTGTGTATCGTATTTTTCTCCCTTATTCCCAATCTTGTATTTCTCTGTTTTCAGTGCAGGCCTCGGGGATAATGGCAGGTGGGTCCTGGACTGGACGCCAGTGGCAACTTTTACCCATGCCTGTTGGCTACTTACTGAAATCAATTGCTCTACCTCAATTTACAGCAAAAAAGTATTTGGTCTTGCTTGAATCTACTTGAGAAATGACACCACTTCTTCTCCATTTCCCCACCTCATCATATCTCCAAAGGCATCCCAAGCTCACCCACAGCTTACCTCCAAAGTTAGGGAAGCTCTAAACAGCATGGGTAAGTGGGATGACTGCTGTAACCACAGCAATGATCCATCTTCCCTACCTCAAGTGGCTGGTACCATTATAGGATTATTTTTTGAAACTTGGCCAGAAACTCTTCTGAAAGCTTTCTATATGGAAATTATGAAGAGTAGCAAGGATTTAAAATCCAGCTGCTGAACCTTACATGTCCTGATGTGGGAGAACCCCATAATTCAGAATTAGCCAACTGGTATTGCACCTGACCTCTGGGTCGCTTGGAGAAGTCCTTGCCAGAGAGTGTTGTCCCTGGTCAAAAAACCAGACCCCCTTTCCAAGCCAAGTGCCATGTCCATCTGGGGTCACTGAACTGTGAAGTCTTGTGGATGCTGTAGAAAACCTGTGAGTCACAAATATAATTCCTGCAGCATCACTATGTGTGGGTTCCTGCTTAGGGCTATATAGAAGCAAAGGCTGTGCCACCTCCAAGAACACACATGGTGAAATCAAGGGCTTATTCTCTGGTGGCTGCATCTTCAAAGAAGCTGACTGAATTAAAAGAGCACTGTCGGAATGTCCGAGTCCTTTGGAGATATAGCTCAGTTGTGCTGTTGGTATTCATGTACTTGTCACTTTGCTTTAGTTTCATCAAGTAAGGAAAGAAGATGAAAACCAAGAAATGAGCACAAGTGACCCCATGTGGGATAAATGTAACACACTGACAGACTAGAGGCAAGGGCAAGCTTCCCTGACTACAGCAATATACAGCTGATATGATGAAACACAGAAATGCTTCTGTCCTATGGTTTTCTGGTGAATGAAAGGTGATGAGAGTTATTTCAGGCTTCTCTTTGTAAAGTCTTTCATAATGGAGATGGTTTCTGCATGGACTTGGTACTTCTGCATGGTACCAGCAAAATAGGTGTTTCTTAGAAGCTTTAGAGAAAAGTATAAGAACATTTCAACATCAAAGTAATGACTAACACCATTATCTTCCCTATATGCTGTTATTTATCCTCTTAATGGCCCTTATTTATTGACTTCCTTTTTGCTGTACCAGGAGGTCGTTGACTCATGTTATGAGTCTAGAGGTTATTTGGCCAAAGATGAATGTAGTTACACTTTTGTAGGCTTGTTTCTGTTATTTTACATCTTACTGACTGGGAATTTCCTACAAGAAAATAACCAAAGAAAATAATTCTATTCCACACTGTGGTAGCAAATCCTGGAGAGAAAAGTAGGCTGCCTCATTTTAGTACAGAACTGAAAGACTTGATCTGGGGATGCCCAAAGATGTGCCAGGCTGCTGCAGAGGTAGAAGTCATTCAAATGCAAGAATGAAACAGGACATCATGTTTCTATGAAATGGAGTTTAGATGCTGCAGTCAGCTCTTTGCCTGGCTTCAGAAGTAACTGCTGACAAAATCAATGTGATGTGCTGTGCAGGGAACTGTGTATCACAGTATCCATTCAGATGCACTCAGTGCAAATGCTGAGCATTTGAAGACTTAATGTTATACAACTTCTGTCAGGATCAGAAATGGGGACACAGAGAATGTGAGTTGGATCTCTTCCTGGGACATTGATTTGAATTGGAACACCTGTAAAATAGAAATGAGCTCCCAATGATGGAAGATTTTGTGTTGAAACAAAGTGTATGCAAGTATGTACATAACATAGCAACTGATGGAAGATGATCAGATAAAAATGTTGGTGTGAAGACCAGGTAAAAATCTTATTTTGGCCCTAGTCATCTTACAGAAATGAAACACAGTAACCCAGAGACTATTTTAAACAGTTATTTAATAAAATCTTACCTTGCCTTGACCTTTTCAAATTTGCCATTAATGTAAAAATGTGGAAAGTTAATTAATTAGGAGTGTCAATTCAAATTTCACCTTGACAATTTCCGGTAGGTCATGCAAGATGACTCTAAGGATTACTACAATATAATATAACACAAACCTAGAGTCAATATGTAAATCTTTGTGATATAATATCCCACAATCTAATGTACATTGGCACTCATCAACTGCTACCTGAAGAGATAGCTTAATAGGCATTTGCTTAAGATCCTGAGGTTATCCTAGACATGAGCACCAGACACGAGTGAGCCAAAGCTGTCCTAAGATATTCAAGAAGCATACCCATTAAAGACTGCAGGTGTGCTCTGTCCATCTGTGCCTTGGCAGAATATAAAACTCAACATCACCTGAAGCTGACGTGGTGTAAGTGCTTATTGGAAGGACTGGCACATATGAGGTCATTTTGGCTTTACCTGCAAACACCTGTCATACAACATGCACAATGAACTTGGACAGAGTTTTTAAATTTTGTGTAGTGCCAGGTGGAGAACAGACTTAGAGATGTGCATGAGAAAGGTATTTTTCACTCTAGATGAGACTGTTAGACAAGGAAGAACTTTAACATTATCCTTTACTGAGAAGGTTTTTGCTCTGAACTTAAGTGGATCCTGGAAATTAAAATATCATAGTCTCCATCCCTTTTTAAAAATAATAATAATAATAATAAATAGTTTAACTGAAGACATTTGAGCACTGATTTGGTACAGAGTATTAGCAGTATATTTCTGCACTGAATCCCACTGCCTCTGTTGCAGTGGACAAACTGGGAGTGTAGTTTCTCTTTTTTCAGAGGAGCATGGTTTTCTCTCCTGCTTTTGCTTGACTGGTTAACAGCTGAATTCAGAGTGAACAAATCAGCTCACACATAAGGACCTAAAAATATCAAAATAGAGGTAAGTAGCAATGTTCACAACAGTTTTTTTTTTTTATAAAAAGCCACCTGTGAACATTCCCAGGGCTTCTGGTTTCTGAAAGCCCTGTTTTGCGGGCTTCAGGCCATGGCACTGCATTTGTTGTTTGTTTCCTTAGCATTTAGCAGATTTCTGAATATCCTTTTGTTATTTTCTGTCTCTTGTTTCCTTTTGCCTCCCCTGGATCCCCAGGCAGAACCCTCCTGTTCATACAGGAGTTCCCCACCCTCACTGTGGAGGGAGAGGGGCTGGGGGAAGCATCTGGTGAAAATGAAATCTGAACAATGACACACTGAGAAAGACATTGCATTGAATGGGAGACCAACAGGGTACCTGGTGCCCTTTTAGCACCCACCTGCAGCACTCCATTCACTTCTCTGCTTTTCCTTATGAAGGATCTGCTGCAGAATGACCAAGGTAAGAGAAGAGCCAACCCTTGATCACATTGGAACAAAGGAGGATTTGCATTGGGCTTTACTGAAAAGGTGGGGAAAGCCAAAGGTACAGAGAAGGTAAAGACAGTAGAAGACGTCCAGGTTCTGCCTCACAGAACAAGAGGCTCCTAAAGGTGCCAGTCGTACAAAAAGGAAAGAAGGAAAGGCTCAGTATGTGGACAAAGGCTTTTAAAAACCTACCTGTTCAGACTGAAATGGCCCAACAGCGTGCCTCCAGTCTTCTCTGAAGTTAATGATGGTCAAGGGCATGCCCTGCTAGATAGGACCAAGCCAGTGCTGTGTGCATCCTGTCTGAGAAAGGCTATTGCAGTCTCCTTGGTACTGGGCAGGGGGTGATCTGCCCTGAGAGTCCATGTGTGTTGTAAATACCAGTGATTGTAGCGGTGTCTGTACAGGGACACTGAACTTGCCAAAACCTCCAGGAATGTGCTCTCTGCTCAGAAGACAGAGCAAGAGCACATATTTGCCAAGTGTTCTCAGAGATGCTTTCAAGCAGGATATCCTGGGCCTTCCCTGATTTGTTTTTGACATGATTTATGTCCTGTGTGTGAGTGGAAAAGTTGTCACACAATTTAATGGCTGTTTCTGATTTTATTTGTCTGGGCTTTATGAGTAAGAATTAGGCTCTTAGAGCCAAGCCTGGGCTCACAGCTCCTCTGCAGTGTTGCCCCACAGGCTTGGCACAATGAGGAGCACTAAACCCATTTTTGCTTTTGTTACCAAAGCAAAAACGCCTCTTGGTGCATGTGTACAACCACAATATTTCCTCTGTATTCCCTTGTGAGAGTGAAGCTGTGACTGCAGACTGGCAGGTGACGTAGTACCACTGGACTTCTGTCTGTGTGCAGGTGTGAAGCTGAGCTGTCAATCTGTTGTGATCCACACATTGTCATCAGGTTGCTCCTGTCTCACCACCATTCCTTTCCATGAAAGCGTGAGTGTGCTTCAAGGCATTCATGGCTATGAAGAGGTGTGTGTGCATGTGTGCCATCCACTGCTCATGTGGTGCACAGCATCCTTTAAAAGGCAGGTCACACTTCAGAATTAATATTGAAAATCTTTAGTAGTAAGAAGTGATTAGAAGCATTACTTTGTATAAATGCAGCTTTATTCAGTAATTCACATTACTAAAAGTACTTACTTCCTTAAGATACTACTTGTATTTTTGCTTTTGTAGTAGCAGGTACAAAAGCAAACTGTCATTTTGTTGCATGGCCATATCCATTCATCCAGTCTGATTTTTCTAGACCAGTTTGGTCAATTGTTTACTGTGCAAGGCAGGTGAACATGAGTGGATGAAGAAATAGGGTTAGGAAGGAATATGCAGGATATGAGCATTCCTTGTCCCAGGCTCAGCCCTTGACAGGACTTGGGAGGGGCAAGTAAAACTCCAGGAAGAATGGGTCAATGTTAATGGCAGATGCTTTCATTTTCCAGCTCCAAACTGCACGCTGTGTTGTTATTTTTAAAACCTTGGGAGAGACGAATTGGGTCAAAATAATTCAAAACCACACAATGTACTGATCTTTTGTTGGAACCCTTAGAAGTAGTCCATGTGCCACGTAAGTTGAAACAAATTAATTTTAGAGCTAGTCCGTCGGCTTTGAGCTTCCAGACTTGAGAAGTGAAGGATTTAAAGATGTCTTTCATGTTGGAGTGTTCTGAGACTTCATTTAGTAATGCTTTTAATAAGGTTTTGATCTTCAAGTGAAAAGCTCAGTAGAACGACAAGTGACTGCAAATAGTAAAGCACAATAATCTCTCATTTTAATATTCATTTATTTTATATAAATGATAATAACAGCCAGTTCATTCTGCCTTGTCTCCATGGGTATTTGGTTTCAGAGGAGAGAAGGCTGCAGCCTGACAAGTAATGTAGTGTCTGTTTACCATTTGGTTTCTTCACAGAGATTGGATGTGGCGGCATCTTGCCATGACTGTTGCTTGAGCCAGCTAGGAGGTTAAATATTTCATCATGATGATTTTGATACTTGCATTGATCTCCTGTGGATTCGTAATTAAAGACATCACAAAACAAAACAAACCTCCCCCAAACAATTGTGTGTGTCTAAATCACTTACATATGTTTCTTGTTGCAAATTATGTATGGGTTTCTTTTTAATATAACTCTTGTCATGACAGAAATGATGCTGGTAACGTTGCTAGTATAAGCCTAGAATGTTTTCAATGACACCAAGTTTGTTAGGACAGACTGTGAATTACTTGTCAGTTCTTGAGAAGTCAAAGCTTAATTGCTGATCAAAGTTTAAAATATTACTTGTATTAGCTATGGGTTTTGATATAAATTCTTTCTTGTGACCATTAGGCAAAAAGCCAAAGAACTGGCAGTGCTGCAGCTCGCTCAGCAGCTGCAGTTTGGAAGTCAGCTCCAGGCTTCTATTCTGGACTGAAATTCTGAAGTTTTTCAGATTTTTTTTTTCTTCTATTTTGGTGGGAATAACTGAAAATAATTTTAGGCCAATCTGAAATAGATTCCTCCCTCCCCCTTTCTGTTTTTCCTGGCTAGTTCTTGAGCCAACCAATCAGTTATTATGCAGTTCTTTCTATTTTGTTCCATATAAATCCATGGTTCCTACCGGATTGTTCTCCATCACGCCACCTTCTTCTGATAGTCATGGACAAATGGTCATTAAATCCAAATATTTTTTGCAGATGTTTCTGCAAAAAAGCAGACTTTTACCTGTAAAACCATAGAAGATGAGAAAGTAAACCAAAATAGAAATTTTTACTGAGTTCAGCTCCAAACATATTGTATTTTTACTGAGGAATCTATCCTTCCTTCCTGTTTTTGTAGAGATTATCAGCCCATCAATACGTTTTTCTCTTTTTCTGACTTGCATATGCCTCTCTATGAAAATCTATTAACCATATTCCACTGAAGTACTGTTAATCCAATAGATAGGTCACCATTGGGTCAGAGAAAAGAGGAGGAGAGAGGTTTACTGTGGGAAGAGACACTAGCATTCTCCAGGAGCTCACTGATGATGTTTTCCACTCCATCAGCACACGGAGGTCAGAACCTTCCTTCTGCAGCTGTGAGTGAAAAAAATAGCTAGCAGATATTCCAGGATTAATGCTATCAAATTCCCTTAACCTGGAGCTATGCATTCAGCATAGATGTTCCCAGGACAGCAGACAAAATAGGTCATTTATCTATACTAGTACAGCAGTTCAGAGGCTCTTCAGTCTCCTTGTTCAGGACCTTTTGCTTACCCTAAAAGCAGTATGTGAAATCTTCTTGTTCCAGTGGCTGGCAAAGGAGCCTGGCCTATGGCCTTTGTAACTTCCCACTGCTGTGCTCACCTTCTCAGCAGATTCCCAGAAGTAGCTGTCTGAAAGGATGCACCAGAGCAGGTCTACACTTCATGGCCAACAAGGTCTTTCTCCAGAGCAAATTCCTTTCTCTTTTTCCTAGCTAGATGCTCCCCTGAGCTCATTTCTTTACCTATACTGTCATTGCCTGGATCTTGTCTTCAAGTTAATGATTGTACCAAATTTGAAAAGCCCAAGTGCTACAATTCATTATTATTTCTTTTGTTTTCTCCCTGACACTCTCTCCAAGTCCAGATCACAGGATCTCTCTGTGTAGCCACATCTCCCTCTGTAGCTTATTGTCTTCCATCCAAACAACTGGTCCCTGTTTTCAGCTCGGTTACTGCCTGTTTAACTCCTGTGTTGCTGGAAATATATAATGGAATCAGGGAGAATTAACCACTGGTAATTCCTTCATATCATAATTACAGAACTGTCTTTATGGTGCTTGTAAAAGGCATTGAATACATGTCTGGTCCATTTCTGTGCTTTGAGTGTGTAGCACAGTGTTATCTTCTGGTAAGTAAAATCTCTCTCTTTCCTTCTTTCCAACCTAGCTCTCAGTTGGATACAGAAGCCCCCGACCTCTCCCACCCCTTAGTCCTTTGCGTTTTCCCACCAGAAAATCAGAAAAAGCAGGAACATGCCAAACATGGGTGAGTTTTGGGGATGTGAAATTGTGCTAGAAACTTCTATGGAGCTTCTGTGAACTGTTAAAGGAGAATTTTGCTTTTGCAGTTTCTTTTTCCCACACCTCAAGTTACCCATAATTAGGGTAACTTTTTACACAAGTTTTTACTCTTCAGATGTAAAGGCTGTGTCAGACAAATACTAGGTCATTGCTCCAGACCATGGGGTTTGGAGTTACTTATGCAAGGATCTTGTAAGCATAAAATCACAAACAACAGCTTCTGTTTTGGAAACCGTCCAACCATTTTGCTGAAAAAAAAGTTAAAAACAATTTAGGCAAAGCCATCAGGGTTAATTCAAACCAAATGGTTACAGTCTGGCAAAAAAAATAACATGGGAGCAGGAAGCTCTTAGTACCAGGCTTCACCATATGAAAGAAATTGGTTATTCTGGAGTGCCTGAGAACATCCAAAAGTAAGAATACGCCAAGAATAGAGAGGCAACAGAGCCCCTACTCTTTTGGGGTAGCTTCCTGAAGGACAGATCTATTTCCAGCTGTGATGAGTTCAAATGAACTGCTCTTGTGGTATTCAATGTAATACTTTTAGTGGGCTCAAATCAGTCTGGTTGCAGCTGCCTAAATTTTCTTTCCTTCATTCATTGTGGCTGGCACTGGTGACACTCCGTGTTAAGGAGGAAGACCCAGTGGAGCATACCATGGCTTTTTTCCATGGATATTTTTCTCATCTCTAATTTTCCAGGCTGATAAATGTGGTAGATAAGGTTTGCAGCTGGAGCAGCTTAGCAACAGAATTTCCCTGCAACCATGAGGACTCAAATCAGTCATGAAATCCCAAGGCAACCTGTGCATTGGTCTTTGAGGCAGCACAGGCCAGCCTAGGAGAGTGCTCTTCTCTGGTACTGCTGTGTCCTGGGTTGATCCCTCTCCAAATGCAAGTTTACCAGCACAGCTCTCAGCTGTCAGGCCCCTACCAACACCTGTGAATCTTGCACCAGCAAGGACATATCTCAGGGTATTCTTGATGTGTCCAACAGCCTGCGCTTCTTCTGTCATCTTTTTTCTTCCACATCAGACATTTCCTTTATTCTGACCATCACATTTCTTGCTTCTCTCCAATCTATTGAAATTCTTCATTTCACTTTCCCCTCTTTGTTCTTCTCCATACCCAGATGCTTCTTGCGCTTGTTTTGTTATGCTACAGAGAAAGACAACACAGGACAAAAGGGCCATTAAACTGTAAGATTCGCTGTCAAAATTGTTAACCAAGCTGTGAACTCACCAGGTTTCAGAAGATAATGAAACACTTTGACTGTATGCTTGGATAGCTTGGGGGAGAGCAGTCGCTTTATGGAGGCTTTTGACTTTACTTCAAGTAGTTTACTTGGCTCTCAGCTGTTGCTTTTCCATTTCCAGCAATTCCTACCTCTGACTTCATTCTCAAACTTTCCTGTTTCGCCCATGCTGTTTGCTTGCTGGGACAGGACCTGTTTGTATTAACACCGGTTGGGCAAGTTTGTTTTTTTCCAGGACATATGCCAGTTGTGACAGAATTCTCTAACCCCCGAGTTAAAAATCAAAAGCCCTTCAAAGTTGTAAACACAGTGGCCTTTTCCCACCCCCAGACCCTTCTGCACACATCACACTTGCGTGAAACGGTGTCTTGTCAGACCAGCCATCCAGCCTGCCCTTGTTTCTCTTAGACAAAATTCACTTGTGGCCTTTTTCCATGCTCAGGGGCACAGCACAACAAGCTCTCAAGACTCTCTCCAGCAGAACACTCCTACCCTGCTGAATCCACTCACACCCGTGAGATGGCAGCTGCTCAGAAATTCAAAATTCTTCTTTAATGAAAATTTTGAGGTGGTTTCTGGTGAGGAACAAAGGCTCACTATGGCTGTCCCTTTTAGCTCAGTGACCTTTTTATCCCCTAAGT